TAATCATGATATTAAACAAAAGCAACCAGAAATGTACACACTGAATGAGCTCTAGAATATATACATGGAGAATCAGTGCTGATAAAATCCTAAAATACTGGCTACATTTCAGAGGTAGGAGCAGGCCCTAATGGAGAAGGCTCAAGAGCTGTCACTGGGGTATATTTAATTCTTTTTTTTTTTCTTTAATTGTTATTCATTTATTCGTGACTACAGTGGGTCTTCCTTGCTGCATGTGGGCTTTCTCTAGTTGTGGCAAGCAAGGAGTACTTTCTAGTTCTGGTGCACAAACTTCTCATTGCAGCGGCTTCTCTTGTTGCAGAGCACAGGCTTCATGGCGTGTGGAATTTTCCCAGTCCAGGCAGTGAACCCAAGACCCCTGCCTCGGTGGGCAGATTCTTTACCACTGGACCACGAGGAAAGTCCTGGATCAAGTTTAATTTTTGATCCAAAAAATGATTGATGGAATCACTTAATTAGTTAATTTACTTAATTGAACTGCATAGAAATTTTTTTTGTTTTTTTTTTAGTAGATAAAAACACAATATAAAAAGTTCCAGGACACAAAAGAAAGGAACAATTATTTAGTATCTTTAAGGAAGCTATTGAAAACTGTCTTCAGTCAATTTCAATAAAAATATTTTCCAGCTTAAAAAATTGCTTATGATCTAGAGTAAGATGAATGCTTTCATTAATATGCAAACATGATCATACTGAAGCCCAGAATAATTATTTCATTACTATATATAAAACTTGAGAGAAAAAGTGATTTAACAGCAGATTTTTTATGGGTAAGTAAAAACAGGTGAAAGAATGGAAGAAAAATTCTAGAAAAAAAGGACTTACTGTGAATTGGCTGAGATTCATAAGAAGACCCTGACAAAGCTGAATAGGAGTTATTGAGAGATTTAATGTGACTGAAACATGACAAAAAAGTCTCAGTGTAGTTGGTATATGTCTCCTGAAAACTTACAGAACTCACACCTTGGAATGCTTTTCTGTATTCTCCTTGACTGTTGATACTTTTAACATGGTTTCTGTAATTTACATTTGTTTTGATGCTTTCCTCAATGTCCACAATTCATAATTGACAATGTATTGAGTCACAAACATTTATTTTCTCTGTTCTGGAGATAGACTAGGCCAGTGCTGGCTTGGAGTTTAGTTTCTGAGAATATTGGAGACATTTAAAGAAACATCTCCTAAGAATGTTAGATAACTTTTTTAAGTTTTACAATGCATAAGTGAGTGGAATTTAAAGTAAATATAAATCAGTTATCAGAAATACAATAAAGGGAAATACCACAGAAGTTAGGAGATCTATGGCAAATGTTTCTCCTAAGTGCATGTGGCAAACCAAAGCATTTTGATGCTTGAGTATTAAGGTTTACATACATGTGATAAAGGAGACAAAGCCTGGGCTGAGCAAACTGGAAACTTAGATCTCCACTGAGTAAGACTGAGACAGCAAAGGATAATATCTTCCTCCCATTTCCACTTGTACAAAACAAGCAATGTATGATATGGAAAATGACCTATCTTTCCCAACCTTATTTCTAAGCAAAGAAAATTCTCACTTAAGAAGCCTTAATAAATCGTGGAATTGGGACCATATTCATACTATTTCTTGAGATTTTAAATGCACAATTTGCATTAAATATGCAACTATGCATCTGGCAGAAACCAGCAAAAATTCTCTGTGGAGGAAAGATTTCCCAAAGTTGAAGTCAAAGAAAAAATAAGCTCAGACTCAAAAATCACTGAAAATGTTAGAAAACAAACACAATGCAAATGAGTCAACAAAAAAATCAGCAGAATCACTTCCAAAAACTTGTAAAAACAGCCATTCCTCATTTTATTGTGCTTCACTTTGTTGCACTTCATGGCTATTACATTTTTTCTGTAATTGAAGTTTTTTTGGCAACCTTTCATGGGCAAGGCTATTGGTTCTATTTTTCCAATGGTATTATTTTTTAATTAAAGTATGTACATTGCTTTTATAGGCATAAAGCTATTGTACACTTAACAGACTACAGTGTAGCATAAATAGCTTTCATATGTCCTGGGAAACCAGAAAATCTGTGTGACTCACTTTATTGTGATATTCACTTCATTTTAGTAATTTGGAACTGAATCCTCAAGATCTCCAAGGTCTACCTATAGTAGTATTTTTAGAGAGAATATGAAATAAATTACATTTAGTATTTTGAAATACATAAAGAATTTAAAACATAAAAATAACAATATAAAAACTGACCAAGTTGATTTGTAAAATTGCTAATATAAACTGTCAAAAGTTTTTAAATGCATAAATGAAATTAAAAATACAGTAAATGTGTTAAACACTAGGTGTAGTTCAAAAAGACAATGATAAAATATATTGGAAAATATACCTTAAGAAATAATTCAGAATTCAGTACACAGAAATAAAAAATATAAAATTGAGGCTTATAGATTTATAGAATAAAGTAATAATGATCAAAATTCATCTACACAGAAATAAAAAATATAAAATTGAGGCTTATAGATTTATAGAATAAAGTAATAATGATCAAAATTCATCTAACCAAAGATTTAGAAGTAGGTTTGGGAAAAAGGAAGTAATAACTGAAAAGAAATTTTAGAACTGATGAAAAACATCAATCCTCCAACTGATTGGAGGAAGAGTAATGAATAAAAAAATGTTGAATTTGAAGAAGTAAAACAGAAACACATTGAAAACAAGTAGACTTTAAGATCAAAGATAAAGGGCAGATTTTCAGTAAATGAATGATTGCTTGATTAATGGAAATAATAGATGCAAAGACATTAAAATAAGTTCTTCAACATTCAGAGAGAAAAAAGGCAATTCCCCTGGCTATAATTACATATCCAGAGAAATTATCTTTCTGAAATGAGGATAAGGTGATGGCAATATTATACAAATAAAACTCAAGAGATATTATTAACTACACACCCTCAAAAAATAATTGTTAAAGGATGAACTTTAGAAAGAAGAAAAAGTTTCCAAAAAGAAGGCATCAGATGAAAAAGGAATGATAAAATTATATTTGTGTGTAAATCTACTCAAATATTCTGAATAAAACAATAAAAACAATCACTCTGAATATTGTGGTGTTAAAAAAATCAAGATATAAAATAGCACATATCTCACACAGAGGATGATAGTGCTTTAAAAGTTCTCCTCTCCTTGTTTTCTTGAGCTGTCTAAAGTGTTCCCTAAAAGGTTACATAGAGTGTACAATTTTCAAAACAGTACAGGAAAAACTAAAAGAAAGGAAAAAGATAAATAAGGAAAAGAAAGGGTATAGAGGAAAAAGAAATACAGGAAAAGTGTAATGATTGAGTACATAATTATGATGGTAGAAATAAATCCAAGTTTAGCAATAGTTAAAATCAATAATCTCCAATAAATGTAACACTGTCGTAATGACTTTTGAAAAAACCCAGTTACATGTTATTTACAGGAGGCATTCTTAAAGCACAAGGACATTAAAGTTTAAGAGTTAAAACATTCAGTTCAGTTCAGTTCAGTCTCTCAGTCATATCCGACTCTTTGCGATCCCATGAATCGCAGCACACCAGGCCTCCCTGTCCATCACCAACTCCCGGAGTTTACTCAAACTCATGTCCATCAAGTCGGTGATGCCATCCAGCCATCTCATCCTCTGCCATCCCCTTCTCCTCCTGCCCCCAATCCCTCCCAGCATCAAGGTCTTTTCCAGTGAGTCAACTCTTCGCACGAGGTGGCCAAAATATTGTAGTTTCAGTTTCAACATCAGTCCTTCCAATGAAAACCCAAGGCTGATCTCCTTTAGGATGTACTGGTTGGATCTTCTTGCAGTCCAAGGGACTCTCAAGAGTCTTCTCCAACACCATAGTTCAGAAGCATCAATTTTTCGGTGCTCAGGTTTCCTCACAGTCCAACTCTCACATCCATACATGACGACTGGAAAAACCATAGCCTTGACCAGACAGACCTTTGTTGGCAAAGTAATGTCTCTGCTTTTTAATATGCTATCTAGGTTGGTCATAACTTTCCTTCCAAGGAGTAAGTGTCTTTTAATTTCATGGCTGCAGTCACCATCTGCATTAGCAAATTTTATTTCGTATGGATCCTGATTAATATCAATTGAAATAGGTGTAAAGCAAAACATTGTTAGAGATAAATAAAACCATATGCTAATAGAAGGCTTAATTCCTCAAGAGTCTCTATCACCAATACAGTTAATAATATGACCTACAAGCTCAATAAGCAAATACTGACAGAATAAGAATGATAATAGAAAACCTCATAGCCATAATAGAATATTTTAGGTTATCAATCTCAATTACTATTGAATAAAAAAGAGAAATTCAGTATGCATCCAGGTGATTTGTTTAACATGTATAACAAACATTTAATAAACATGTACAATGTTTCACTGATTAAATATAGAATGCACATTTGTATACAAATTCTTCCAGAAAACTAAAAAAGGAGGAAATACTACTTCATTTTATGAAACCAGTATTGCTCTCTTACTAAAACAAACTAAAGGCATTATAAGAAAAAAAATGTTATTAATACTTATGAATCATTAATGTAAATACAAAATGATAAATGAAATTGGTGAAGCCAATATGGGAAACCGTATGACATTTCTTCAACAAAATTAAACATAGGATTACCATATGATGCAGCAATTCCACTTCTGGGTATATACCCAACACAGTTGAAAACAGTAACTAAAACACAGATTTGTACATCTGTGTTCACTGTAGCTTTATTCTCAATAACCAAATGATGGAAGCAACTCAGAAGTCCATTTATGGATGAATAACTGCTCAGAAGCGTGACCATGAGGAGCTACCCCTCGCCCAAAGCCAGGGGTGGCGACCTACAGTGCCAGGCTGTGACAGCGCAGGAGCGGCGCAGAGGCTCTTCCCCATGTCCGAGGTCAGGGGCGGCAGCTGAGAGGAGCTACCCCACCTCCAAGGAGCGGCTGCTGCGGGCGCGCATGAGGGCCGAGAGGAGCTACTCCACGTTCAAGGTCAGGAGGGATGACCTCAGCCAAGGTAAGGAGCAGCGGCTGCGCTTTGCTGGAGCAGCCGTGAAGAGGTAAGAGAAACCCAAGTAAGACGGTAGGTGTTGCGAGAGGGCATCAGAGGGCAGACACACTAAAACCATGATCACAGAAAACTAACCAATCTGATCACAGGACAACAGTTTTGTCTAACTCAATGAAACTAAGCCATGCCATGTGGGGCCACCCAAGACGGCCAGGTCATGGTGGAGAGGTCTGACAGAATGTGGTCCACTGGAGAAGGGAATGGCAAACCACTTCAGTGTTCTTGCCTTGAGAACCCCATGAACAGTAGGAAAAGGCAAATTGATAGGATACTAAAAGAGGAACTCCCCAGGTCGGTAGGTGCCCAATATGCTACTGGAGATCAGTGGAGAAATAACTCCAGAAAGAAGACACAGGATGAGATGGCTGGATGGCATCGCCGACTTGATGGGTATGAGTTTGAGTAAACTCCGGGAGTTGGTGATGGACAGGGAAGTCTGGCATGCTGCGATTCATGGGGTCGCAAAGAGTCCTACATGACTGAGTGACTGAACTGAACGGATGAAATAAACAAAACACACACACACACACACATACACAATGGGATATTATTTAGCCTTAAAAAGGGAAACGTGTTAAAAAGCAGAGACATTACATTGCCTACAAAAGTCCGTATAGTCAAAGCTATGAATTTTCTGGTAGTCATGTAGAGATGTGAGAGCTGGACCATAAAAAAGACTGAGGGCGGAAGAACTGATGCTTTCAAACTCTGGTGCTGGAGAAGACTCTTGAGATCCCCTTGGATAGCAAGGAGATCAAACCAGTCAATCCTACAGGAAATCAACCCTGAATATTCGTTGGAAGGACTGATACTGAAGCTGAAGCTCCAATACTTCAGCCATCTGATGTGAAGAGTCATTTCATTGGATAAGACCCTGATGCTGGGAAAGATTGAAGGTAGAAGGGGAGGACAGAGAATTAGATTGTTGGATGGCACCACCAACTCAATGGACATGAGTTTGAGCATTTGGTAGATGGTGCAGGACAGAAAAGTCTGGTGTGCTGCAATCCATGGGGTTGCAAAGAGTCAGACACGACTGAGTAACTGCACAACAGCAAAAAAGGTAAAGCATTAAGACACAAGCTTCATCATAGATAAACCCTGAAAATCTTCTACTAGGTGAAATGAATCAGTGACAAAAGGTCAAATGTTGTAATATTCCACTTACACGAAACATGTAGAATAGTCAAAGTCATAGAGAAAGAAAATGAATAATGATTGCCAGAAGTTGGAGGGAAGGAGAGTAGGAAATTGGTGTTTAATTGATGTGGAGATTCAGTGTGGGAAGATGAAAATATTCTGGAGATGTCTGGTGGTGCTGGCTGTACACAATGTGAATACACTTAATGCTATTGAGCTATACACTTAAAAATAGCTAAAATGGTAATTTTGTCTGCATTTTGCTAAAATAAAAAAACATAATCATGGTTGGATACAAGACTGGTAGTCATAAGTCTTTTTATACACCACTAGCAAATAATTCAAATATAAAAGAAAGCAACTTATGACTGTCTAGACAAATGTTAAATATCTAGGAATGAATTTAGCAAAAGAGGTACAAGGCTTCTACAGAAAACCTTCACACATTTGTGAGAAGAGATAGAGAGATTTGCAATGTGCATGAATAGAAAGAATGGATTTTTGTAGATTTTAATTCTTCCAGGTTAATCTATAGACTCAGTACAATTATGTTAAAAATTTCAACACACAGTTTTGTAAAATGTGATATGATTCTTAAAAAATTAATTGATCAAGTTAAGGAAGGATAGCTAGGACACTTTTGAAAATTAAAGTCAGGGACTTCACTGGCAGTCCAGTAATTAAGACTTTTCAATGCACAGGCACATGTTTAATCTCTGATTGGAGAACTGAAATCCCATACACCTCATGGTCAAAAAACCAAAGCATAAAATAGAAGAAATATTGTAACAAAGTCAATAAAGACTTTAAAAATAGTCCACATTTAAAAAAACACTTTAAAAATAATGAGATTATTTTAAAAAAGAAGAAGAAAGTAAATGAAAATCAAAGACTTGCCCTACCAGATGTCCAGACTTACTCTGAAATTGTCATCATGAGGAATGTGGTACTGTCACAGAGACATACAAATTGACAAGTGGAATACAGAACAGAGAAACAGATTTGCATATGTGAAAAACTGCAGTAAATGTTACAGATACCATACTAGACTAGCAAGAAAAGAAGTGACTATTCAACAAATGAACTAGAAAAAATTTTTATCAATATGGAAAATGTTCAATTGGGGGCATATTACTCAACATGTTATAAAATAACCAAATATATTGTTGTTGTTCAGTTAGTCATGTCCAACTCTTTGCAACCCCATGGACTGCAGCACACTAGACTTCCCTGTCCTGCACCATCTCCCAGAGCTTGCTCAAACTCATGCATTGAGTTGGTGATGCCATTCAATCATCTCATCCTCTGCCACCCCCTTCCCCTGCCCTCAATCATTTCCAGCATCAGGTGGCCAAAATACTGGAGCTTCAGTTTCAGCATCAGTCCTTCCAATGAATATTCAGGATTGACTTCCTTTAGGATTGACTGGTTAGATCTTGCTGTCCAAGGGACCCTCAAGAGTCTTCTCCAGCACCAGAGCTTGAAAGTATCAATTCTTTTGCACTCAGCCTTCTTTATGGACCAACTCTCACAACCATAACACAGTGAAGCTATGAGTCATGCCATGCAGGTCCATCCAAGACAGATGGGTCACAGTGAGAATTCTGACAAAAAATGGTGCACTGGAGGAGGGAATGCAAACCATTCCAGTATTCTTGCCTTGAGAACCCCATGAAGAGTAGGAATAATAATAATAATAATAATAATAATATATAGCAATAATAATAATAAATATAGCAAAGACTTAATTGTTCAAAGGGAGAAAATAAAATGTGACAATCATATTAAAACTTGAGTTAAAGATAAATCTAAGATGCAAAGAAGGGACTTCCCTCATTGTCCATTGGTTAGGACTCTGCACTTCCACTGTTCCATTTCTGGTCAGGGAACTAGATCCTACATGCCATGATGTGTGACAAAAAATATATAAATATAAAATAAAATCTAAAAAATAAGACACAAAGAACATTGCTCAGGGGAAAAAATCCATGTAACTTATTAAAATGTGTTTTGCTTCAAAAGACAATAATGAGAAAACATGATACAGACTAAAAGAAGAAATTCTCAGTACATAAATTGGTAAATGACTGGTATCAGAAATGTGTTTTAAAAATCTATAAATCAATAAGTAGAACACAGACATTTCAATAGAAAAAATGGTTTAATACCTGTCAGTGAAATGGAATCATATATTACTAATAAACTTAGGGAGAGTTATTGATATCATCATGAATTTGGAAATGCAAAACATGACCGTTTTGTTGTTGTTGTTCAGTTGATACGTCTTGTCTGACACTTTGCAACCCCATACACTTCAGTACACAAGGCTCCGCTGCCCTCCACTAATTGCTGGAGTTTGCTGAAACTCATGTCCACTGAGTCGGTGATGTTATCCAACCATCTCATCCTGTTTCCCCTTCTCTTTTTGCCTTCAATATTTCCCAGCATCAGCCTCTTTTACAATGAGTTGACTCTTCATATCTGGTGGCCAAAATATTAGAGCTTTAACTTCAGCATCAGTCCTTCCAATAAATTTCAGGGTTGATTTCCTTTAGGACTGACTGGTTTGAGCTCCTTGCTGTCAAGGGACTCTGAAGAGTCTTCTCTACCACCGCAATTAAAAAGCATCAATTCTTTGGTGCTCAGCCCTCTTCATGGTCCAACTCTCACATCTGTATATGGCTACTGGAAAAACCATGGCTCTGACTATATGGACCTTTGTTGACAAAGTGATATCTCTGCTTTAGGTTGCCTAGGTTTGTCATAGTTTTCATTCCAAGGAGCAGCATCTTTTAATTTAGTGGCTGCAGTCACTACCAGCAGTAATCTTGGAGCCCAAGGAAAGAAAATCTGTCACTGTTTCCACTTTTTCCCCTTCTATTGGCCATGATCTTGGTTTATCTATGATCTATCCATGATCTTAAAATGTTGAGTTTTAAGCCAACTTTTTGATTCTCCTCTTTCACTCTCATCAATAGGTTTTTTAGTTCCTCTTTACTTTCTGCATATTAAAGCAGTATCATCTGCATATCTGAGGCTGTTGATATTTCTCCTGGCAATGTTGATTCCAGCTTGTAATTTATCCAGCCCAGCATTTTGCATGACATACTCTGCATATAATTTAAATAAGCAAGGTAACAATATACAGCCTTGTACTCCTTTCCCAATTTTGAATCAATCTATTGTTCCATGTCTAGTTCTAACTTTTTCTTCTTGACCTTCATACTGGTTCCTCAGGAGACAGGTAAGATGGTCTGGTATTCCCACCTCTTTAAGAATTTTTCACAGTCTGTTGTATTCCTTGTTGCTAAAAATCCAGGGAGATTTATTCATGTCATTATCAATTTGGAATGCAAAACATGACCCTTACAGAGTGATAATTTTAACCTAAATTGTAAATTAATAAATTTGAAGAGTGTAGTGATGCCAAGAATTGTGGAGAATAATAATATAATAATCCATAAAACTGATGCCATATTGACTATGATAGTGAACTAGTACTATTATTTTGTAGATGCCATATCACATTATTTTGTAAGATTGAATTCTTATTTACTTTATTATCCAGTTCTTACTCTCTGGGTTACTTTATGACAAAAGAAAGTTAACAATAGCAATTTTGACAGTTGGTAATACCTGAGAATGATAAAATTGTCCATTAATGAGATAATGGATGAAAAAACTGTGGTATTCACACAATAAATGTTATGTAGCCATGAAAAATGCCTGAAAGTAGCATGTAACATTGTGGGTGAATCTGCAAAACAAGTTCCAAAACATTATATACAATAATTGTGTGTGTGTGTGCTCAGCCATGTCCAACTCTTTGAGACACCTTGGACTGCAGCC